TATACAAATCAAATTGGAATTTATTAATTAACATATACTTATCTTTTTATCATCTGGTTTGTATTAACTAACATATCATACTATAAAATGTTAAAATTTATTAGTTGTTAAACATGTTCTTTTAGGTCATTTATATATTTCAAATAGCTAATCAGCTAATCTTTGTCAAATGTATTTAGTTCCACCTAAATTTTCAGCTATCAACTAACTTATTATTTAGTTTGTCAAACACAGCTTGAATTCAAAATCATTTTAATTTTTGACAAACGTCAAGAGACACCATTTTGCATGTGGCCTTATGGTATGACGATTTCAGATAAATATTAGAATAATAAATTTGATTATACGACTCTTATGTAATTAGAGTTTTGTATAAATAGTTAATATATATATATATATATATTAACTATTTATACAAAACAAAATTACAAAACAATCCTTTTAAGCCTTATATCTAAAATCAAGTTTATTAATAAAATAAACTATATTCCAAAACCAAATTTATTTATTAATATACATTATTACACATGTAGTTTAAAGTGACTGAAATTACAGACATATTTCTTTATCAATAATAAGCGATCAATTGTAGTGGAATCTAAGACAGTTGAGTTTTTATCCGGATCTATTGACTTCCATTGGTGATCATAGGAAATTCACTAGTAAATTTAAAGATAATTAAAATTAACTGGTGAATATTTTAATTAATAAAAATCCATGTTGATTTTTTTTTTTTTTTTTTTTTTTGGTTTTTTAAATTTATCAACAAATTACCGAATGTTTTAAAATACTTTTGTAATCCTTCAGTAAATTTAATAAGATTTTTTGATTGTATTTATATAATTTTAATATATTGATTTTTATATATATATGTGTGTGTATAAATTAAAAAATGATGGATCTAAAATGTTTGAAAAAACTTAATAAATAATTTTGTAAAAGAAAGACTTCATTAAAAACATTTCTCTAAAGGAAGCAAGACCAAACACATGATCGTAAAGTAGTTCATCAACTCGATAACTCCATTTTCCTTGACCACCAATTAATGAATCATGTGTCCATTATTATTATGGTAAAACAAAACGGTATAAAACATTATTCATTTTTCTTAAATAATTAATAAATTTCATTCACAATGAGTATATCAAATTTAACATTCAAGATACGAAATCTATTTGGAACGATGTTAATTTGAGTGAATGAAAGGATCTCATAAAACGCTTTATTTATCATATGGAATTTGTTTGTGAGAAGGTGCTCAAGCAAACGCGAGAAGGTGGGACATAAATAAAATTGTTAGACCATCCACAAATGTCAGTATGATTTACGGTATCTGAAAACTTTAATATTTTATTTATTGGATAACGCAAGGAATTCGAAAGCAAACCTTAACGCAAACAATCACATAGATGCTCCGATCTGCATGGGAATAAAAATATGCATAGTTTTCTCCAATAAAGTTAGGCACTTTTAATACTCAAATCCCCATAACTAACTTTTTCTCAAGTACCAAAAGGAGATCAAAAATACTAATTTAGACCATTCACACGGGCCTTGTAAATGAAATTGAAAATAAAGTTTTATCAGAATTATAGCAGTCATATAAAACAATTACAAAATTTGCGATTAACATTGAAAGCCACGTGAGACACCAACCTTCTCTTCAATTTCCTTTTTCTAGTTATTTAAATAAATTAATTTTTGTATCAAATAATGAATTTTATAAATTAATAATATTAATATATTTATTAATTACATCAACTATTTTTATATGAAAATATTATATGTATGTATATATGTTATTTTTAAAAAATATAAATATAATATAATTAAATTAATTTAACATTAAATTTTATAATTACGTAAAATCACAATCAATCAAATATATAAAATTATATATAACTAATAAAGGTTGTAGTTGGAACCATTTGAAAGTGTAGGTGAATTGCATCTCTATGGAAGATGATTGCAAAAGCTGATATGACATTAATTGAAAGTGTAGATGAATTGCAGGGATATAGATGGTCTTATATTCCAAAAGACATTTTTGACCTTTTTCTAGACTTGTTTAACCGATTAACTTCATCAAATTATTGGAAAATTACATAATTTTCATTTAACCCCCCCCCCCAAACAATGAATCAAATCTTAGTCTTGAATATAATTTGTAAACTAATTTTACATGATACGATTCTTGAAAGATGAGTTAGATTTAAATCTTCAATCTATTTTTCCGGGACACACTTCCTAATAAATAATTTATTTGGCATGTTTTCCTAGACAAGATTCGATCTTTACATGAATTATTAATATCTATGTCATATATATAATTATATATATATATATATATATATAAGAATAAAAATCATATAGAGTAGTGTTATAAAAGTAGGTGTCTCCTTAAATATTTAAAATAGAACTTCTAAAGGTAATTTTACAATTTCATTTTAATCGTGAGTCCGTAAAGTTTATGATTTGTGAAATTGTGAGTGATGTGATTAATTAAATATATAAAAATGTAAAATTTAAAGTTGAAAGAATAAAAACATAAAAAATAAAAAGAAATTATTTTCGGAAAAAAAATCACGTCTTACAAAAACGTGCGCCGTTGCACGACGCCTTACAGAAACACTACGGAAATTTCGTAAAGGCAGAGACGCATTTTGTGCCATATTCCACCATTGCGTGCCTTTTTGAATACTGGTTGCAGATGTTATATATAACATAAATTTAGCAATTAACATTTTGTTATTTGAACAAAAGTTTAATTAACGTAACTTTAACTGACTCTATACAGTACCTACTTCCGAGAACTTTAATGTGATTGAACATTTTCTGACCCACTCAACTGCTAAGTTTAGCGGTAGGTCTAAGATCGGACCAACGA